CCAGCCAGGACTGCAGATAAGTCCTGCACTTTCCCATTACACAGAGACTGGACAACAAGTGACACAGCTAGTTCTCCCAGGACTTGACCATTCTTTCAATTTTCTCAGGGTCCCCTAGAGATGCCCTCACTCCCAGATAACAGGAAAGCAATCTAGAAAACATGATGCCAATATTCCCAAGAGGTGGGGTGGGTGGTTTTTTTGGTTGTTTGGTGGATTATGGATGTTTGTCATTGTTTAGGTGGGTTGGTTGCAAGTTGTTATTGGTCACAGTCAGGGAGGAAACTAAGCAAAGCAGATTAAATTCAGGGATCTCATTCTGAAAAGAAAAAGGGGTTATAGAAATGACAAGATAAAGGGTAGATTATTGAATCTACTTTTAAACTAAAAACAACTACTAGTCTCTAATATTTTACATTGGTATGGCTTTTCACACATTGAAACAAATGTAAGGTTATTTTTGTTAGAACATACACTATATATGTCTACTCTTATTTAAGATACTTTTGTATATTGATACAAATTTAAGGTTATTTTGTTATACTGATTCTACTCTTGTTTAAGGTATCATACCTATGCAGTTCATTTAAAAATGTAAAGTTTTAGTCCTTGAAAGCTATTTAGGATAATAAAGAAATACAGGTTAGCAGTTAGTTATCTAACAATCAAATTTGTGGCCATGTTAGGTATATTTTCAAGGTCAAACAGAGATATATTTTAGATAGACATATGGTCTTCAAACACTTCAGAGACATAAAGAATATGATATTTAAGATGTTTTAATAACCTAAGACTTTTTATGACAGTAAGACATGTCTGCTCCTGGCAGCATCAATTTACTTAAAAAAAAGGATGATGGACATTGAAGAACCTCCATATGGAGTTCGCTTTTATTGTGGCAAAGTTAGCCACTGGGCAAGAAACTGCCCTTGCCTCAACTGATGACAATATGCTATCCAAATTGGATAAGAGTGCTGACCTTTGCCAAGACAAGGCAGGACAGTTCTTCAAATCCCTGCTTCACAGAAAAGTCTGTCAGATGTTCTAGGCCTGTAGGCCAAAGATGGATGCCCCCCATACTGCAGAGGAACCTTGGCTGTCCAGGCAGTCAGCTCTCTTTGTCATTTCTATAGTTTTGGAAGTTGTTTGTTCTGCACTTCCTATTTACTCAGGTAACATTTTATCCTTCTTGGGTCTCTGATAGGGATTGAAGACTAGATAGTTGTACAGTTTTCCTTGTTACCAAATTCAGAAAGAAAAATAACTTACATAAAATATGTAAAGTTTATAGGTTGAAAAACATGAAAGCTTAAGTTATTTATCTAAGAAGGTGTTAAGTCTAATAAGATATTTTTAGGATGGTAATATAAATTATATTAGGAAATGATTTAGGTATAAAACTTTGGACTCATCAAGATAAGATAGATAATAGAGTAATTTCTCCAAATTTGACAAATACAAATAGACTGGACATTATGAACGTGAATTCTTCCTTGATAATTGTTCTTATTGTATATAATTTTACTGTATAAGATTTAAAACCTTTCCTTTTTATTTTGACACAAAGGGGGAAATGTGGAAATTTTGTTCACTGTGTGAAAATATACTGCTGTGATTGGTGTAATAAAAAGCTGAACAGCCAATAGCTAGACAGGAGGTATAGGAGGGACTTCTGGGCAGAGAGAGAACTCCAGGAAGAAGGCAGAGTCACCAGCCAGAGGCAGAGGAAGCAGCATGGGCAGTTATGGAGAGATGAGGTAATAAGGCTTGTGCCATAATATAGATTAGCATAAATGGGTTAATTTAAGTTATAAGAGCTGGTGGGACAAGTCTAAGCTAAGGCTGAGCAGTTTTCATAATTAATAAGAGGTTTCCATGTTATTTGTGGTCTGGTGGCAGATGAGAAACTACTACTACAAGAATGTTAGCCAAATTCTCTGAAGGGCAGCTCAACACAGCATGACCAGGAAGCTGCCTTGTCTCAACTTAAAAAAAAAAAAAAAAAAAAAGGGTGATGCTTGGTGGCGCACACCTTTAACCCCAGCGTTAGGGAGACAGAGGCAGGAGGATCTCTGTGAGTCACAGGCCAGCCTGCAGTTTTAGATCAACCCCAGAAGGACAATGAGATAATGGGCCACATTACAGCTTCCACAACAAGATTCTGCTCTGTTTTCTTTTTCTGTTTTTGGTTGGTTGGTTTTTCTTTTAAATTTTCTTTTGGGAGGAGGTTGCAAGGGCAGAGGGCAGATTCGAGGGGGCGAGATAAGTGGGATTGGAATGCATGATGTGAAATCCACAAAGAAGCAATAACAGTTAAAAAAAAAAGTCACTTTGAAATCACCAATCCACTTGCTCTTCTCTTACTACTTTCCCGTGTGGTCTTTTCTGTCTATAAAAATTCTTTTCTTCGGTTTTTTGAGATAGGATTTCATTATGTAGTCTGGGCTGTCCCTGCTAATTTTCAATCCTCCTGCCTCAGCCTCCCCAAGTTGCTGAGAGTACAGGTGTATACCATAGTATACATCTTATGGTGAGTTTGCCTTTTGGTAAAAATGAAAGCAAAGCACAAGATAAAGCAGGCAGAGCCTTCCTGGTATGTCATGATTCTCAGTACTTTAGAGGCTAGACAAACAGACATCTGTGGGAAATCAAAATATGAAGCACTCACATTACCAAACAGCTCATCTTCAAGTCACAGCGATGCAATACAAGACAATGAAAACTATGCTAGTGTGCAACCCCACATACAACACTAAGAAGAATACTAAATCTCACCCCTACACATCTTGAAGCAATTCTCCACCCACAGTGACTGTATAAGGAGCACTTCTTTCTAAAACTATTTGTGAATTTACATTTCTATGGGCCGTGGAAATGTACATACCAAGAAGTGTAGTAAAACTAAGACAGAAACCAGTTTGGCATTAGCAGTCTTTTGGAAAGGCTCTACAAACAGGATTTGATTGCATGACCTGTTCTAATATAAAAGCCAAAAGGTAAAATGTTAAATATTTCACTAACTTACCACACAGAAAAAGGTACCTTTATCCTTCTAAAATGTAAAACCAAGTTCCCTCACTCTAGTAAACACATGAGAATGTCTTAAAAAATACAGCAAATATCTGAGAAACTTGTACTTTATCAGCTTGGATTGGCTCACGTTTTCTTGATACCTACTGCACGAAAGCAAACAACACTGTCATAAGCAGAAGATGACATGACACCAGTCCCCACCAGCACCGAGAACACAACTGGCGCATGTTAGTGAGCATCACTCGGTGCTACAAATGAGGATAAAAATCTAAACGGAAACATCACCAACCTTGATGTATGCAATTTTATTTGTGATCTGTATACAGATGACAACTTTGAATGATTCCTTATATGCATTGCAACAAGCCCTAATAAACGTCTATTTAATTTTGTTATCTGATTTAAATTGAAAAAAAAAAAAACCTGATAATCTATAAGTGTGTGTGCATTTTTTTTTAGAATATTATTGTATTATTTAAGCAGAAATCCTTCATTATGATAGCTCAGGTTTGTTTCTAAAGATGTCTAACACATAAAAATAATATAGTTCTTCCTCATGTCGTAACTATGTAGAAATCAACAGAGTACAAGGTACGACTAACAGAAAACATACACTCTCTCACTCACATACTACAGACTTAATTTCCTAAAAGACAAAAGAAGAGATGATTTCTCACTCGGGGGATAAAATCACATTTGTCAGTGAACCAGACTAATACTCTAAAGCTGCTGCTAGATGCCAGGCTTGATCCTGTGCAAAACACAAAAAACACAGAACAGTAGAAGACAGCCATGGTAAGCAAAAGCACAATGTAAGGAAGTCTAGGCAAAAACCATGTGGCTAATGCAGAAAAAGAGCCATGGAACTGGGTAAGGACACTGGCTCCAGCGAGAAGGAAGTGAGAGGAAAAAAATGGGCTGTCCAGTAGAGGGCTGAGGACTGGGGATGAAGCTAGGATGGCTAGTTCATCTCCTGAACAGGAAATTGCCCACCAACTTCCCAGGACTAGAGGGTTATAGAGAAGTCAAGGAAGCTGGGCTTTAGCTCCGTCTACAGTCCACAGTTCCACCCACTACAGATGAGAAAGCTCTTACTCACACAGTGAGAGAAGTAACTACCTACTGAGATGATCCAAATAAAATATGGAGCTCAAAGTACTCACAGGGGTTAAAATCCCTACAGCAACCCCAAAACCACAGGAAAAAAAAGAGCAGCTACCCTTAAAAATCACCTCCCCAGAGTGAGGAAGAGAACTCAGTGAATTTGCTAGTTTAGCGCAGGAGAGAATGTTCTGGGGCTCTTTCAGTCTACCAGGTAAATCGCTGCAAACTTCGCAGTCAATTACCACAGTCTGAAACACATTACAGTTGGTTCTATATTCAGCAGGAGCACAGAGCAGACAGTGAGGCTGCGAGCTGCGCATTTTATACATTACCTTATAGTTATGACAAATGTATCTTTATGCAGAATATTTCTCTTACAGTCTACTTTCTGACAATATGCCACAATTAAGAAGAAAAAAGCAGAACTGTTCCAGAGATCTAAAAAATCATGAGCAGTTTCTCACCTTTAATGGAAGAAGTACTGATATCTATCAGACAAATCTACCAAATAAATAAAAAATGCATATGTCCTAACAAAGATAAATATCCTTTCCATCATGGCACACAGAAAACACGATGTTAATTTTATTCACCGAAAACAATGCGTGCAGTTCAAGGAACGAACAACTTTCAGTGTCTGACATTTAAGAGGGAAGCTTCCTTAAGATCCACACACACTTCCCTAGCTCCATGAAGCTGTCCCAACCCCCAGGAAGAGAGAGCAGCATTTCATTTTACAGTGCAAAGATGCCGGTACAAACAGCTTACAAATATGTCTGTATAAACACATACGTACACAGGGCACACTGAACAGAACTGCACTGTAAAGCAACACACTCCTGGAAGCATTGGCACCAACTTACCTTGCGCCCGTCACTTGCATGGCAGTTCACATTGAGAGGTGTCAGTAAGGCCATCAGTTTGTCTTCATTACCACTCCTATAAAGAGGGAGGAAGTCAATTTCTGTAGTCACGGGGCTGCTTAGGAGTATTTACGGGTGTTTTCATTGAGAGTGGAAAACAAAGATGTTGCCTTATTTTTTAAATATGGATCACAACGCATGTCTTAATATTTATTTCAGTTAACATAATTCCTGTTAATTATGTAGTGTTACGATATGTTGGGTAATATAGCTTTCTACATTTAAAAATTTATCTACAGAGTCATTTTAATTACAAACAAACTTTATTATGAAAAAAGATAGAAAAGTCTGGAGTTTAAAAATACAAATTCTATAAAGAGGTAATCAATTAAATTATAAATGACCATGACTACCACCACCATCAACAAAATAGCTGAGGATTTTAACGTTTACTTTACGTCTTTCCTTCGAGCTTGGTTAGGGAAAATATCTTCAAAGCAAAAGAAAGACATAGGCAAATAAACACTCCAAGAATATCTTTTGAAACGTTTGCAGGTACCTCAAGATAGGTTACAAATAAAATTAGCCTTACAATACTCAGCACAGTGAAGGATTCTGTCATTATGCCCACTAACAATGTAAAATAAAGTGCACAAAGACTTAGTAGATCTTATCCACACTATATCCCTTAAAACCCAAGCGAGACAAGAACAGGTTATAAATCTTTATACTCCTCCACCTGCCCTCCCCCTTTCCTCCCTTAGATGCATTATACTCACTTAAAATGAATGGAATCACTTACCTAGCAGCTTCTAGGAGTTCGTCTTTTTTGTATTCACCTAGATGATTGCAAAATATCATGCTGTTAGCATTTGGCAGAAGACAGATTAAGAAATGCAGTAGGCAGCAAATAGAGAATTAAATAGAGAAGAACAGAAAAAGAGAGTCCACACCCCGCTGGGTGATGGAGCCGTGACGTTAGCCAGCTTGTGAAGGCAGCATCACCAGTGCCTTGGAGACGGGCAGCAAATTGACGCAGCTTCTTGTCCAATCCTCAGATGAAATAGCTTTCTTCAGACAACCAATGAATGCTAAATCTCGCGTCCAGGAACACATTCCCTCTGATAACAGCATGCCAGCTCAAGACAATGTCCCTTCCCCCCGTTTGTATTCAGGCTGTCACAGTATACTTGTGAAGCATAATACATTTTGAGACAAAAGCAAAATAATGTGGCTCTTTAAAGGTACGAATTATTAGCCTTCAAAAAAGCCTCAGTTTTATTTCTAACGGCATGGAAAGTTTTTTTTTTTAATTGATTACCATCACTGAGCTTTATAGCAAGAAAAAGGAAAGAAAGAAATGTAAATATCAGAACCACGAATCCTTTCTCGCCTCGACAGGGAAGGTCTGTAGACTAGAAATACGTGAACTACGTACCAAACGCAGCGAGCCTCTTGGAGGCAGTGCTCCAAAACCAAAACAGAGAGCACATTCTTTAACCGGCAACAATAACCTAACCTGCATCAGCCTTTATCCTCGGTAAGCCAAATTCTACCAACAGTAAATCTTAGTAAGTAGGCATCTCAGGAAATGAGCAGGGAACCAGTTACTACGACATGGGTAATTTTACTCTATTTTTCACAACAGACTTTTCAAAATGTATCAGTGAAAATAGAAATTACAAATCTTTCATGGCAGATTTCTTAGAGTACTCAAGACCTAACAAGTTTCTTTTGCGAGCTCAACTGAAGGACAAGGAACCTTAATAATAACAACACTGTGTTTGTTCCTTCATTAAATAAAAAGAACAGCCAGGGTTATGATTCAGCTATAAGGCAGTTGGTAATATCATTAAAGGAATAATTATACAAATTGTCTTAACATGTCATCTGTGAAAAAAATTAGGTATACATTAGCAAAAGAAAACTTTAGATTAAATGAAAGTTAAATAATAACCTTAAATTGTTTTAAAATACTTATTTGCGGTCATACCTTTCTTTACATTTTCTTTGCATTTTGCCATAAAGTTGAGCTATTTTAATGCAAACACTACAAAGATACCTATAATCCTATAGGTATCTTTAGTTGATAAATCCTATAATCCACTATTAACAAATATTATATAGCTTTGCCTTTGTCTTGTCTCTTGGATTGGAACTAGGCTAAAATCTAGAAACTATAACCATGTTTTCAAATAGAAAAGTTATTAAGGGAATCTTATACCATTGAAATCTGTTCTATGCATCCCCCAATTCCATATGGTAGATTGAACAATTTCAGAATCACAGAATTAGTCTTTCCAATTTCCTATAAATTGTAGTTCAGGTTGTTTAATAATTAACCACGCAAAAGTAAAACTGTATCTTCTGGCCAAAAAGGCTCAAAGCTAAAGACTTCCCTTTATTAAACATTTTTTACAGCAACATGGAAGTTGAACATACTATGAATATGATGTTATAAAGTCAAATTTAAAACTAAAAAGCCTGAATAATTATAATCTAAATAATGCAAATTATGGAATACATCTATAAAAGCCACTCGTGCATTCAAAAGGAATATTATCCTATTAAAGGAGAGAGAGAAAACTGTAAGCAAACGATTGCAGTAGATTGTGGGGAAATCTATGAAATACTATTACGGGCTTATTGGCTAGTCTAAACAGGGTTACGAACAGGCTGACTGGGGGTTAAGGAGGTCTTTGGGGAGAAGGACACTACAGCAGAGTTTTAAAAAAGAAACGAGTGGCTTTCAGGTGAGGAATGTGGGAGAGGAGGAAAGGCCGGAGAGAGGAGGGAAATGCTGGCTCTTCCTAGACAAGCCAAGGATATCTGCAGGACAATGAGGCAGACTAAATGAAAGGACCAAGTTTGAGCTTGCTGAGAAAATGTTGAAATGTTTTAACAGGAAGAATGCAAAATACATTGTATTTAAGCATCTTCAAGTTTACTGACTACATAAAATATTTCCATACTTCACTCCAGCAAACTTTTGTTGGGAAGAAAGGCAGCCAGGACATGGCGACGAGGTACTAGGATCTGACAGCTGACGTTCTGGATTATGCATATTTGCATTGTGAACTCCAAGTAACTACTGAACTTCAAGCCATGGTGAAATATAATTTCAATAAGCTAAGTAGAAAAACTGCAAAGGACTCAGGCTCCTCAAAGTTCCAATCAGTCTACCTGAACCAAGTCCTAAGCATGCACAGCTTGCTCTTTTCACCAAAAAGGTACAGTTTTGCAATAATGCTATTCCTTTCTGCATAGGCTGATAATACGGCAATGCTTTCAAAAGAAATATGTAAGTATGCATTACAGATGATTCTACGCTTCCTGTTAGAGATCCTAGCGCTTTAATCAGCTTTTCTGCAATACATTCTAGCATCCACTATCTGGTGCCCAAGGACCACAATGAGTCAACAGCTGAAGCCATTTCTCACACCCTGCTTCACAGGAAAAAGTAGCATAATGAATTCAGAATCCTTTGTACACTGACAGCAAACCCGGCTGCTTACTAGCAGCCACAGCACCAGATCTGTTTCCCTTTAGCTGAGACCACGGTGCTTTACGGAGCATTTGTACTCTTTAATAATATCCAGTTTGAGCAGCAGTGGGTGAGCTAGAGAGCAATGAAGTCAGAGCAGCCTGGAATGAAGGAAACAGATGGCCTCAAATATCACTTTTTCATCAGTCTAAAGGGGGATGAAAACAAGTAGGCACGATGTTTGTTTCATTTTTAAATATTATCATTATTATCAAATATTGATACCTGCAAACATATCACAGACACACAAATTAATGTTTTATAAATGATATCAGAATGAAGGTTAAAAATAAAACTTCCCTTCGTATTCTCTGAAGTAGTTAGAAATAATTTCTCTTTCTCTTAGGATTCAGGCAAATTTTTCTTTTGAAGAAACATACAGAAGTCATGATTATTGATTTACATCAATTTCAACACTATAACTAGCAGGATCAAAGCAGAATGCGTTGCAGAATTGAGCCATTTTGTCTAGATGGGATAACATGGAAAGTTTATGAGCACAGAATCACAGATTTTGAAAGCAGTAAGGGACTGAAAAAAAAAAACTCTGACCTTTCGGTCCTCTGCCTTCACAACACACAGGGCGTGCCCGGAGTGATGCTTGCTTTACACATGAAATGAAAGAGATGTAACTGGAAAGTCACCTGTCTAGATCACCCAACCCTGCAGCTCCAGAACAGATCTAACAAGTAAGTCACCTTCTCCCAGACACACAGTCTTGCTGGCCCTGCCTGGCCAGCCTGGTCCTTGCTATGTAGCCTAGGTTAGCCTTGAACTCATAGTGATCCGTTTGCCACTCAGTTTCCTGAGTGCTGGGATTAGTGGCATGTATCAACACACCCAGTGGTTATCATATTCATTAGTTAATGAACTGGTCCTAAAGCAGTCAAACTGAGTCTCTAGTTCTACTACGATCCACCAGTCTCTCAGGCTCTGGAACTAGGCTAATGTGTAGACAAAGAACCACCCAATTTGAACTTTGAAAGCCAGGATTACATCAGAGGAAAGAAACTAAACTGTTAAGTACAAGAACATTTTATAAATCCAAGAATTAGTAGCTTTAAATAAATTAATAAACCCAAATTTCCCATCAGAACCACTTTGAAGCATTGGACTTATAAACATGGACCACTGGACCACAGGAAGAGAACTGAAGAAAATTCGTCTGGGTCTCTTCAAGTGATGGACACATTTCTCATTTCCACAGCACGCTTTAACTCCTGAACTACTTAGGTATCTCAAGGGCAGACATTTGCAAAGACTTCAGTCTCCATCACCAAGTTAATGCGTGCACTCTCATGGTGCTGGGTGCACAGCAGCTCCTAACCTGACAATCCTGATACTCCTGGAGAGTTCTCACCAGTAGCACCAACTGGTAAGCTGATACAGAAATCTTGGCACTGTGGTACCAGCAAATACAAAAAATTGATTCTTTTAGCCAAACCCACAGCCTATTTGGGGAATAAAATATTAGTTGAAGTGATGTATTTCACTGTGTTTTGGTTTGAAGACTTAGAACCAGTTACGTGGTTGTGAAAAGACTTTAGCTACAAGACCAGAAAACAATCTATTCTCTAGTCACTAAAGCTAGATCCTCAGGCAAACTAATTTTCCAACAGACTGATTGATACTCTATATAGAAAACAGGGTCTTAGTAATAATTAACCCATTGTTTTTATTCTAAAATCTTTCATGAAGACTTCTGAGACAAGGGAAAAACGTCAAAGGTCTTCCTAAGTTTTCAATCCCTTGTTTCTATTCTTGAATCCTATCAAATCTTCCTGTCTCTTCTGGTGTGGCTTCAAAGTCCATACCATCAGCTAAATCTAAGGTCGCAATCAAAGGAAACACTCCACAATTTTTCAAAACAGAACACTTGAGGCTGTGAAGAGGTTTTTTGGGGTGTTTTTTTGGTTGCAATCCTTTACTTGTCTCCTAAAAGCTCAGTAGCTAACATTAACTAGCTAACTAGGACAAAACTAAAGCCTTCTGTTGCTCAGTCCCACCATTGTATTTCAGTAGTGTGTGTGTGACAAGCACTCACTTCCATGCCTGCACACTACTGCAATACAATGGTGGGACTTGTATTGCAACTGAAGGGTGCTCTGATCATTCAGAAGCCCCCGCTTAGCCCCCGTTCTTCCTACTGTCAAAATTCCTGCAATCAAGACTCTAAATTTTTCTTTCTCTATGTTTACTAGCCAACAACTGCTTCATCCCCATGAAATACAGGGGAACACTGACTGAGCTGGCCCCAATCCTTCAACACCGGAGAGGACAACTCTATTCTAACTG